TGGGCGAGATCCAGAGCAGCCGCCCGGAAGACAAGCAGGCGGGGGCCCCGAGGGCACGACCCCGCGGAGGTCCACCACAGAACCCGAGCAGGCAGGGGCAATGAAAGGCCGGGCCCTGCTAACCTAGGGGGAAAACAAACCTACCTCGCTTTTGACCACCCTCGCTTCCAAGAGATACCAAACGATGCCAAACTACGGCCTGTACTGGTCAGGCCGCTTGACGAGGAGGCGCGTGGTATGACTTGGTTTTGCCTGAAAGCGAAAGCGGGGTAGGTAATTCACGCTCCGATAACCAGCCCCGAGCTTATCCTTGGCCCACAGGTGGACGAAATCCAAAAAGCAGTGTCACGGTCTCAGGGGTGCGCCCTCAGAATCCAAAAGGATCGTCAAGATTGGCGTCGAGACCAAGTGATGCCAATCATGCGAATACAAATGACATGGCCCATGGCGGATTCCGGAAACCCTGAAGCCGGAAATGTTGTCATCTCTTGGGAGCGCATCTTTTGGCACATCTTTTACTTCCGCGGCCTTCCGCCAGCCTTCCGCCAGCTTCCGCCGAGGAAAAGATGGCAACTCCTTCGATCCTCGAAGGTGAAGCTTTTTCTGGAACGATTCGTATGCTGCAGGCTAGTAACCTCCGAGTTGGACAGACCCTTTAGCAAAGCACCCTTCAGGGACAACAGCCTGGGACCACAGCTGACCAGCGCAGGCCCGCCAAAAAAGCGAGAGCCGCGACACAAGAGCAATTTGCTCATCGACCTGGCAGGGTGGGGATTCTAGTGAAATGAAGCCAGGGCGAGAATCAAATCGGGCGAGGATGAATGGAGAATCTCTGAGATCCGGCGGCTCTGGAGGATGTCTCGGGCGCCGCGAGCGTAGAGCGTTCCAGAACGCTCTGAACAGAATTATCCTCGTCCCAGCCCCGTCCTGCCTAGCAACCTCCGAGCCTCTGAAACTACAAGACAGAACAGCAAACACGGGCGAACAGCGGATCGAGGAGTTGGACCGAATCAGAATTTGCGTCGGGCCGTTGGCAGTGCGTCGGACCGTCGGCACGGTGGCGCTGGACCGAATCGGATCGGCCGCGCCAACACATACAACAACGCTCTGCAAGCATGGGGCCGCATCGGACTGTGGGAGTGTCGTAGTCGGACCTGATCGGGCTGATCAAAATCGATATCGACTCGGATCGATCGGGTCAACATGGACCCTGCAGGGGCAAGCCATTCCGAATCAAGCAAGAACTGTGTAATGCATACTGCTTCGATAATAAACATGTTCGTGCCGCACCGTGTTCCAATTCTATGTCTAGTTACACACAGAGAACTAAACGATTCACTCCTGTTGACGTTTAAGTTACTCACGCCTTGTGTCTAGAGCACATTTTCTCACATCGGTACGGCGTAACATCGACATCGTATATGGTAGCCATGTGGTGGGACTCTCGATATTCGGACCGATGTACTCTTGTGATGATCGAATGCGGACGCATTTGGAGAATGCCTGGGTGGACCTGGTTGTTTGGACCCATGGGTCATGCAGATATGGCCGAAGCTGAGCGCAACAAGACATTGGAATGAGCTAGCACACACGATCGCCACCGTGGACAAAACTCCGGTCTAATGAGCATGCGCCATTGGGCCCATGCAAACTGCCCGATGAAGTTCCGCAGCTGCGGGTTCTGCAACATAAGCGCGGCTACCTCGGCAAGCCGAAAGACACTGGGCCGGGGAGAGGACGGCAGTCATCAGTGACCACTCTCATCATCAGCAGGGAAGGAGATGAAGAGGAAGAAAGCGGTAGGAGAATGAGGCAAGAGGGAGGACCAGGAGACGCGCGCAAAGAAACATCCCGTCTGCGGTAATCCTAACACATCCGCACACAATGTAAGAGGGGAATGGGTGAAGGCGGAAGCCTAAAGGATGACACCTATAACAGGGAAGTGGGCGGCGATGAACACAACCAAGAAGGCGCAGCAGGACAGCCCAAGACCTATCGAGTCCAGGGTGAGAATGCACTGGCGGCAGGGTCGAGCTCAGGTGGTCCATTCCGAATCAGAATCACTAGAGAAAACGATCGCGGCTCTTGGACAGCTGCACGGATCGATGTCGGTGCTCGGGAACATGTAATAGCCGCCACATCCAGGGCTTAGCTAGACTCTGCCACGATGTACCCACGAGGAAGAAGAGGACCGTGCGTCCGAGTCAGTCCTTCGAGACGGAGCAGAAGGCGCCGTCAGGGTCGAACGGGGACTTGCCGTCCGCGCCACGAAGCATCCGCGAGCGCTGAAGCTCGAGAGAGACGGGCTGCTTGATGAGGCCCGACTCGAGAAGCTACGCGAAGGCAACATCAACTCCAGAGTTGACATTCACAGACCGCGCGAGCGCGGAGAGCGGCCCCGTGGTTGACGCAAGGACCGCCCGATGCTCCTGAGTGGCCACGCCCGAATCAACGACGGCAGCCTCAGGGGCTGCAAGCCGACTCCGCGCAAGAACATGTCGCTGAAGCTCCTGCGTGGACTGGTCCAGCTCGCGAGGGGGAGGGTGAGGAAGGGGCTGGCGAAATGGGGAAAGATAGAAAGACTGGCCGCTGCTTACAAGGGAACCGGCAGGAGTCGCGCGTGGGCCTGAGCCCAGGCGCGCATGTGTGCCCGGGGTGCAGCACATGAGCCGCGGTAGTGTCCACGCGGGGGGCTTGCGAGGAGGAGGAGGAGGAGCACGAGGAGGAGGAGGAGGAAGGAGGAGGCGAAGGAGGAGGAGCTCGAGGAGAAGGAGGACGATGTTGCAACACGTCCCCAATCCCAAGTCCCCTTCCCACAAGCCCCGAGGAGTACGTAGCACCCCGCAATTGCGGATAAGAGTGAGGGGGCGGGCGCCGATTGCTGTTGTAGTCAACGTGGGCCGGATCGGGGGAATGGCACGAGGGCGCTTTCCCAAACCAATGCGAGCAAGCCCGCCGCAGGCGCCGATTTTCGTGCTCTGACAAGTTCAGCGCGGGGGGTATCGCTGGTGGGCCACCCGGAACGACTGCAAAAACAGCCCGCCGCAGGCGCCGAAGTTTTGGCTTGTTCAGTGAACGTAGTTTGGGTCGCGGGTGGGTCGCGGGCTCTCCACCTCCACCTGGAAGGAATTTAAAAACAGCCCGCCGCAGACGCCGAAAATTTTGATTTGTACACTGAACGCGGTTTGGGTCGCAAGTTCTCCACCTGGAGCGAATGCAAAAGAAACCCGCCGCAGGCGCCGAAGTTTTGGCATGTTCAGTGAACGTAGTTTGGGTCGCGGGTGGGTCGCGGGCTCTCCACCTCCACGTGGTCCACCTGGAAGGAATTTAAAAACAGCCCGCCGCAGACGCCGAACATTTTGATTTGTACACTGAACGCGGTTTGGGTCGCGGGTGGGTCGCGGGTTCTCCACCTGGAACGAATGCAAAAGAAACCCGCCGCAAACGCCGAAAATTTTGGGTGGGTCGCGGGGTGGGTCGCGGGTGGGTCGCGGGTGGGTCGCGGTGGGTCGCGGGTGGGTCGCGTGTGGGTCGCGTATGGGTCGCGGGGTGGGTCGCGGGTGGGTCTCGGGGTGGGTCGCCGATGCAAAAGAAACACGCCGCAGGCGCCGAAGTTTTGGCATGTTCAGTGAACGTAGTTTGGGTCGCGGGCTCTCCACCTCCACCTGGTCCACCTGGAAGGAATTCAAAAACAGCACGCCGCAGGCGCCGAAAATTTTGATTTGTACACTGAACGCGGTTTGGGTCGCGGCTGGGACGCAGGTTCTCCACCTGGAACGGATGCAAAAGAAACCCGCCGCAAGAGCCGAAAATTTTGGGTGGGTCGCGGGGTGGGTCGCGGGTGGGTCGCGCTGGGTCGCGGGTGGGTCGCGGGTGGGTCGCGGGTGGGTCGCGGTGGGTCCGGGTGGGTCGCGGGTGGGTCGCGGATGGGTCGCGGTGGGATCGCCGGATGGTCTCGGGTGGGTCGCGAGCGGGTCGCGGGGTCGCGGGTGGGTCGCGGGTGGGTCGCGGGTGGGTCGCGGGTGGGTCGCGTGGGTCGCGGGTGGGTCGCGGGTGGGTCGCGGGTGGGTCGCGGGGTGGGTCGTGGGTGGGTCGCGGGTGGGTCGCGGATGGTTCGCGGGTGGATCGCCGGATGGTCTCGGGGTGGGTCGCGAGCGGGTCGCGGGGTGGGTCGCGGGTGGGTCGCGGGTGGGTCGCGGGTGGGTCGCGGGGTGGGTCGGAGGTGGGTCGCGGGGTGGGTCGCGGGTGGGTCTCGGGGTGGGTCGCGGGTTGGGTCGCGGGAGGGTCGCGGGGCGGGTCGCGGGTGGGACGACGACAACAACAAACAGCAACAAACAGCAACAAACAGCAACAAACAGCAACAACAACAACAACAACAACAACAACCACAACAACTACAACAACATCAACAACAACAACAATAACAACAACAACAGCAACAACAACAACAACAACAAGAATCCGCATCGCGGAATTCCACTTCAGCCACGCACCCAGGGACAGAGAATGACCGTTCGGTTCAGCCCCCACTCTCTGACGTAGCACCCCGCAATTGCGGATAAGAGTGAGAGGGCGGGCGCCGATTGCTGTTGTAGTCAACGTGGGCCGGATCGGGGGAATGGCACGAGGGCGCTTTCCCAAACCAATGCGAGCAAGCCCGCCGCAGGCGCCGATTTGCGTGCTTTGACAAGTTCAGCGAGGGGGGGATCGCTGGTGGGCCACCCGGAACGACTGCAAAAACAGCCCGCCGCAGGCGCCGAAGTTTTGGCATGTTCAGTGAACGTAGTTTGGGTCGCGGGTGGGTCGCGGGCTCTCCACCTCCACCTGGAAGGAATTCAAAAACAGCCCGCCGCAGACGCCGAAAATTTTGATTTGTACACTGAACGCGGTTTGGGTCGCGGGTTCTCCACCTGGAACCAATGCAAAAGAAACCCGCCGCAGGCGCCGAAATTTTGGCTTGTTCAATGAACGTAGTTTGGGTCGCGGGTGGGTCGCGGGCTCTCCACCTCCACCTGGAAGGAATTCAAAATCAGCCCGCCGCAGGCGCCGAAAATTTTGATTTGTACACTGAACGCGGTTTGGGTCGCGGGTGGGTCGCGGGTTCTCCACCTGGACCAATGCAAAAGAAACCCGCCGCAGGCGCCGAAAATTTTGGGTGGCTCGCGGGGTGGATCGCGGGTGGGTCGCGGGTGGGTCGCGGGGTCGCGGTGGTCGCTGGTGGGTCGCGGGGTGGGTCGCGGGGTGGGTCGCGGGGTGGGTCGCGGGTGGGTCTCGGGGTGGGTCGCCGGTGGGTTGCGGGTGGGTCGCCGATGCAAAAGAAACCCGCCGCAGGCGCCGAAGTTTTGGCATGTTCAGTGAACGTAGTTTGGGTCGCGGACGGGTCGCGGGCTCTCCACTCCACGTGGTCCACCTGGAAGGAATTCAAAAACAGCCCGCCGCAGGCGCCGAAAATTTTGATTTGTACACTGAACGCGGTTTGGGTCGCGGGTGGGTCGCGGGTTCTCCACCTGGAACCAATGCAAAAGAAACCCGCCGCAGGCGCCGAAAATTTTGGGTGGGTCGCGGGGTGGGTCGCGGGTGGGTCGCGGGTGGGTCGCGGGTGGGTCGCGGGTGGGTCGCGGGGTGGGTCGCGGGTGGGTCGCGGGTGGGTCGCCGGTGGGTTGGGGTGGGTCGCCGATGTAAAAGAAACCCGCCGCAGGCGCCGAAGTTTTGGCTTGTTCAGTGAACGTAGTTTGGGTCGCGGGTGGGTCGCGGGCTCTCCACTCCACCTGGAAGGAATTCAAAAACAGCCCGCCGCAGGCGCCGAAAATTTTGATTTGTACACTGAACGCGGTTTGGGTCGCGGGTGGGTCGCAGGTTCTCCACCTGGAACGAATGCAAAAGAAACCCGCCGCAGGCGCCGAAAATTTTGGGTGGGTCGCGGGGTGGGTCGCGGGTGGGTCGCGGGTGGGTCGCGGTGGTCGCTGGTGGGTCGCGGGTGGGTCGCGGGTGGGTCGCGGGTGGGTGGGTCGCGGGTGGGTGGGTCGCGGGCGGGTCGCGGGGTGGGTCGCGGGTGGGTCGCGGGTGGGTCGCGGGTGGGTCGCGGGGTGGGTCGCGGGTGGGTCGCGGGGTGGGTCGCGGGGTGGGTCGCGGGTGGGTCGCGGGTTGGGTCGCGGGTCGCGGGGCGGGTCGCGGGTGGGACGACGACAACAACAGACAACAAACAACCAACAACCAACAACCAACAACCAACAACAATCACAACAACAACACCAACATCACCATCAACAACGACGACAACAACAACAACAACAACAACAACAATTACTAGCACGTGGGGACACACCGTTCTCACCAGTGCCAGGGTTTTCATAGGAGGCGGGCAATACCCCCACTTTGTGGGGGGGCCGGTTCAAGCTCTACCAAATTTCCAAACGACTCTTCGCCACCACCCACACCCAGCTTCCCGCCCTATGACGTTCGGACACTTCACTTCGTGGCATGCGGACGACCGTGGCTACTATTCAGGGCCCCGCGGCCGACGACGACGGCGTGCGCGCGCGAAGAAAAAACGAATGTGTCCCGCATGGTATTATTTGACAGGGATGATGGCCCTGGCAGGTGCGCAACCGTTGTTGCAGAAGTTCGAAAAAGTTGCTCGCAAAAGCCCGTTTGACAGAAATGTTTAAAAAGTGTTGGGTTTCCTACGAATCCGCAAGAGCGCGCGGGATGAAATTTTGACAATTTTTTTTGAAAAACCATTGGTTTTTTGATGTTTTTATGTTAAAATCGCTACGAAAACTAAGGTTTTGGAAGGATTTCGTCTTGCGCGCGCGAATGTCCACTTTACCTTATTTTTTGCAAGGGATTCTTGAAGTTTGGTTATGTTAGAACAAGAAATGTCCACTTTAGCTTATTTTTTGCAAGGGAAAACCGATCGTAACAACACAACCGGATCTGGATGAACATCGTTTTGCCTGAGACTTCCTCACGAAAATGATGAAAATGAGGCTGCGGCCTAGGCGCGGCGGGGGGGCCATGCACCAGGGGTCCCAACAATAATTATTCTTTAGAAGTAATAATGTTCAACAACAACAACAACAACAACAACAACAACAACAACAACAACAACAACAACAACAACAACAACCACAACCACAACCACAACCACAACCACAACCACAACCACAACCACAACCACAACCACAACCACAACCACAACCACAACAATCCGCATCGCGGAATTCCACTTAAGCCACGCACCCAGGGACAGTGAATGACCGTTCGGTTCAGCTCCCTCACTCTGACAAGTCCCTCTTCACTGCGGAAAGCGTAGGACGAAGTCAGGACGAGGATGACATCGGGTGCGGATAAATCGAGAATATCAAATATCCTGAGGCTTTGGAGTATGTCTCGGGCGCCGCGGCCTTCTCAGAGCGTTCGGGAACGCTCTGACAGCGTGCTCTAGAACGGATTGTCCTCGTCCTAGCCTCGTTCGAACGTGCACCCCTTGAATGTTGGAGGAGGACGAGGGGGAGGGTTTCTTCTCCGCAGCGGACGCACACCACAAGCAGTGCTTCATTGTCCCGACCGCCAGGCCCCGCACATGCAAGAGACAGTCAAGCGAGGAGACAAGCGAGGCACGGCGGCAGCGGCGCGGGCGGCAAGGGCACTCGGTCGACCATCTTCGGGACTCCCTGGGGGAGGAGGAGGAGGAGGAGGAGGAGGAGGAGGAGGAGGAGGAGGAGGAGGAGGAAGTGGAGGAGGATGAGGAGAAGGGGGAGGAGGGGGAGGAGGAGGAAGTGGAGGAGGAGGAGATGAGGATGAGGACGAGGATGAGGATGATGATGATGATGATGATGATGATGATGATGATGAGGAGGAGATGGAGGACGAGGAGGATGAGGAAGTGGAGGAGGATGAGGAGGGAGAAGGGGAGGAGGAGAGAGAGAGAGAGAGGGAGAGAAAAGGAGAGGGGCAGGAAAGATGGGATCCATTCAGGCCGAGATCCGCCCACCGCCTCGCCCGCCCCCGCCCCCGCCCCCGCCCGAGGTCGCGGCCACGGTGACGCCGCGGAGCGCCATGCCCACGAGCCATGGGAAGCGGAGCAGCACCAGCGCCGGCAGCACCACGACGGCGGCCAGCCCCTGCGGGGTCTCCTCTCCCTGGCCTTCTCCCTCCAGCCGCCTCGCCACCACCTCCCGCCTCCTGCTCCTCCTCCTCCTCCCTCCGCTCTCTCCTCCTTCCTCTTCCCTCTTTCCTTCTGTCCCCTCCCCTCTCCCTCGAGGAGGGAGGGGGGGAGGAGGGAGGGGGGACCAAGGAAGGGGAAGGAATACAACATTGGCTTTGTAAAGTTCCAGCGTACTCCAAGGCATTCCAAGGATGATAATGTGGAGCCTGTCCTGCTTGTGGGCCTCCGGGGGCCTACTCCTGTGGTCAGCCTCCTCATCGACCCTCCATCTCAACGTCATCCCTTCCCCGCCTCCTCCTTCTGCTCATTCTTCTCCTCCTCGGCCTCTTCCCCTAAACACACCCCTGACCCTCATTGGGGGTGAGAGGGAGGGAGGAAGGGCGGGAGATTTCGTGATCCGACGGCGTCAGCCCCAACGGGGTAGACTTTGGAGGGGGAAAGGGCGGCAGGGCAAAGGAGGACCGAAAGGAGAACCCGAGGAGGGGGATGCACAGCAGACTGAGAGGGGAGGGGAAGGAGGACAGGGGGAGGCGGAGAGAAGCGGAGAGGAGGGAAGAGGAGAGGCTAGGGGAGGACGAGGGGGAGGGAAGGGGAGAAGGGAGAAGATGCGGCGGGAAAGAGGAAGCCAGCTGTGGCTCGGCCCCGCGCCTTGTGCCGCCACACGAAATCCCTCGCGGGCTGCAGGTCCCCGGCCTTCGCGGACAGAGGGGCAGTGCGGGGGGAACGCCGTGGGCGGGACACACATCTGTCTTCACGGCCTCGCGGGATGGGCCCCTGGGCCGCGACCCCGTAGACGGGGCGTCTTTTCGCGGATGCATCGCGCGGAACGTATCTATGCGACCGGGCATCCGTGGGATCGCGCCCCGGAATCTGGCCCGCGAGGTCGCGGATATTGACGCGTTCGTCGCTCGTGAAGGCGGGCAATCGCAGCAAGGCGGCTGACCGTCTTCCTCTGGAGGCCCACAAAGGCCAGATACGCTCAAAAACCTTGATCGTCGTCGTCGACGAGGTCGCCGCCGTCGCCGCCATGGAGCAAAGAACCTCAGGGGGGGAGACGTCCGATCGCAGAGACACGGCTGGCCGACAACCCTCCAAAGCCCCCCCTCCAACGAAGCCAAAGCCGGATAAAATCGGCCCTGGACTAATCAAGGATTTCTGAAATACCATGGTTCTGGAGGATGTATCGGGCGCCGCGGCCGTTCCAGAGTGCGCTGGGACGCTCTGAGAGCGTTCTCGAACGCCTGGAACGATATAACCTATCCAGGCCTGGGCCCCACCCGACCATAGCTGCCCCCACCCCCCGGAGGCAAACGACGGTACCAAAGCCGCGACCCCACAGAAGTGTCGATCGTTGCCTAGCGGGGGGCATCGTCGCCTAACATCGTCCATCTCCAACCCTCGACTTTGCAGGGTTTTCGGCTGTCCAAAGAATCCAGGGCTCGGGGATATACGATGAGGGCGTTAATCCTCGAAAATGAAGGGTGCATCTGGATACCGAACGGGGGGGTCTATCTCCCAAGTTCCCCTCTCCATCTCTCTCTCTCTCTTTCTCCCTCTCCCTCTCTCTGAGCGAACCTACCTTCTTGATGGGGAGCTCGGGGATTGGGGGCACAAACAGCCTGCCATCGACGTCGACGATAGAGTCGATCGTCGTCGGAGGCGACGGCGATCCACGATCGCCGAGCGACGACAACGACCGAGGCGATCGCTCTCGGTCGTCGGTCGAGTTTAATGCCGTCGACGACGACGATCAACGATCGAGCTAATCCTCGTCGGCGACGATCCACGGCCGAGTCGATCGTCCCTGCTTCTTACACGTCTTCCCAGAAGCATCCACGACCTTCTGAAAGGCCCCTGTATTCCAATAGGCCTCCCCCCACAGGCTCCTTAGAAGGCCATCCCCGCGGCGCCACCCCTTGTCTGTGCGCGCCGTTACAAGATGATCGACGATCGACTGGGTCGTTGATCGTCGTCGACGACGATTGGCTCGACTGTTGATCGTCGTCGTCGACGGCGGACGCTTGTATCGACTATCGACTCGAGCGTCGTCGTCGTCGGTCGGCGATAGCTGGTCGTCGTCGACGACGACGATCGACAGATCCAGTCGCAGCCGCTAGCAACGCCGCCGCGTCGACCTGCTCTAAGCGGCCCGAGTCGAAGCCTGAACACGGGAGCTCCGGGAGCCCCGACCGCGGTCCGAATCCGGAGTCGAATCGAAGAGAAATATAAGCCCTTGCAACCGAATCGATTCGAACCGACAGAGTCGACATGCACTCTGACCTGAGCCTGGTTTTTCTGGTCACAACTCGGGCCTCTGGCGGCCGATCGGGACGGTTCGGGCACCCCTGGGACGCTCTTGGCGAGGCGAAGCCGCTGGAGAGCATTCCTAGGCCCTTAGGCTGGAGAAGCTCCGAAATCATCTACATCGAAATTCTCTAATCGATTCGAAGTGGCTCTGTCGGGCGTTGGCGGGACTAGGTTTAGTGGGACCTCGTTTCATGATGCGAACCAGGGGAGGGCCCCCCATAGCCGGAACTGCCATCACCCCAAGAAACACCAGCTCGACTGGAGCCATAGACCCAATCTTTCTGCACCATTTCTCGAGCCGCGTCGATCTGTGAGGGTCCCGTGGCCCGCACCTGGGCGAAAGAAATGGTAACGCCAGGATCTCAGAATCATCAACCAACTCCCCACGATCGGCTTGATCGAGCCGTCGTCTAGCATTAGCATGGGGGAAACGGGTCCTGAGGGAACCTGGTCTTGGACCATAGGGCCTTCCCCCAGGACGAGCTCTTCATCCTGAGTCGTTTTCTGACAGTCCCAGGGCTCGTGGAGGGCCCCGAGAGCCCGAAAACGGCGGCAAACCTCAGGACCCCGTTGCCCTCAGAACCCGGCTTCCCCCATGGCGAATTGTCGTCTCCGCCGCCGCGGCGGAGACCTGCGCGCTCCGCGCCGCTGCGCCGGCCTCCCGCCGGGTGGCCTCGAGGCGCTCCATCAGCTGCTCCGCCCCGAGCTCCTTCAGCGGCGAGCGACGACGACGACGACGACGACGACGACGACGACGACGCTGCCGACGACGCCGACGCCGACGCCGACGACGACGCCGACGCCGATGCCGATGCCGACTCCGCCGACGCCGACGCCGACGCCGACGCCGACGCCGACGCCGACGCCGACGCCGACGCCGACGCCGACGCCGTCGCCGACGCCGACGACGACGCCGACGACGCCGACGCCGACGCCGACCCCGACGCCGACTCCGCCGACGCCGACACCCACGACAACGCCGGCGCCGACGCCGACGACAACGCCGACGCCGACGCCGACGCCGACGATCAACGTACGCGGGCAGCTTCGAGGAGCTCGCGAGATTAGCATCTTTGCCACGCCGTGCAGCGAATGATGGGGTTTAGAATAGGTCGTCGCAAGACTTGCTGCACACAGGTGTGCATGCAGAGCGTTTCTGCAACGCGCTCCATAGCCGACGAGGCTCGCATCCAGGAGCCCTCCAGCAATCTCCCCAGAGCCAGGCAGAATGGAAACTACGCAGCCGCAGCTTGAGAGCACTTTGGTCTTATGTTGCTCCCATCGTACTCAAGGACCACATCCCAGACAGCACCCCGAACAGTATCGAGCACCCCGAACACCATCGTACTCAAGGTCTTATGTTTCGAGCACCCCGAACAGTATCGAAACAATGTCGAACGAGTACAGCCTCCCAGGGCCCGACATGCGAAAACCCTCCGGTTTCCGTCCTTTCCTGGTGCTCGATTTCTTTCCGGTGATCAGGGCCAAAGTGGGCTGGAGAACATCGCAACTTTAGCCTCCTGGCGACCCCGAAGCTCGCGGCTTTCTCGCCCGTTCGCGCCGGCCCTCCGCGGCTCTCCGGCCTCGGTGTGCTCTCCCCAGCAGCCTCGGCCTCGCCGCGAGCGTTCCTGGGGTGCCCGCTGCCGACTCGCCCCGATCGGCCGACGGAGGCCCGCTTCGGTGCCCGAGGGCCGCAGGGAATGCGGGCGTCCAAGGTCAGAAACAAGAGATCGAGGCGCTGTTTTTCTTGTCGTCTTCGGCCTGGAGCCTTCCGCCCCGAGGCCCCCGAGGGGCCCCCAAGAGGATCCAAACAGTCCCCAAGCGGCCCCCAAGAGGCACGAAGGGGCTCAAACAAGGCCCCCGATGGGCACCAAAGATGCCCCCAAGAGATCCCCATTCAGGCATCCAAGAGGCCTCTGACCTACGACCCAGGCGTAGTGGCGGGATGGGCCGAAGGACAACTGATATTCTTACACGTGTGAATGCGCGAAAACGTGTTTCTGCACTTCCGTGCACTTCAGCTTTCAACTGCATGCGCACGCAACAGTAGCGCAGGTGCTCCTCCAGCACGCCGCGGAACAACTTGAAGGCGTCTACCGGCTCTTGGCGCGGGGGCGGCGGCTGTGAGTTGCCGAACCCGCCAGCGCCGTCTGAGCCTGAGGCTCCTCGTCGGCGCGCCTGGCGAGGGAGGCTGCAAGAACTGGAGGCTGGACTCCGCGGGCGGATCCTAAGACAATTGGGTGAACTGATTCGCTGGTCCCCCCCCTTGCACGCTTGCCCCTCCCCCGCCGTCCACCCCCACCCACGACCCCATTCACGTTCCCCAGCGCGCAGCCCTGTTGGGAAGACCCCAGCGAGACCCCGTGGGGGAAGCCCACAGCACAGACTTACACCAACCCGCACTGTGATCACAGCGTGCCCCCGTGGATCAAAAGCGAGGGGTGCACACTAATGGAAGCCGTTCCTCGAGGGGCACGTAGACTGAAAGGCACCCTGTGGATGGACGCACTGGCCACTTGGCGGCGGCGTCCAAGAGCGGGGGCGCAAATCATGGGCTGGCGTCATGTGCGCGGCCCAAATGGCCCAAAGGGGGGGCGGGGACGTAATGAAACGAGAAGAGGCGCCATGCGATCAGGGGAGATATCACGGCCCCCGCCAGGATATCCACCCCCCCTAGTCATCACCCCCCTCTTTGCCGCCCCCGACCCACGGGGAAAGCATCGGGGCCGCCGGGCCTGAGGCCCCTTCCGAGGCACCCCGAAGGGTAGGGTCTGCGCGGGCAATGGGCGAGGCGTGCGGCGCCTGCAGCCTAGGAGGAATTCATCGTACGCCGGCCCTCCGCGAGGAACGACAGCAACCGGGGAGTCGGTGACCGTGGCTGGGGAACACACAGCCTGAGCGGGGTAAAATCGACGATTCTATGGTGCAATGTGCAACTCCCTGGAGAAAAAACAACAACTCAAACTCATGTAACGTCGGCTTGCCCCGCCCTCGCTTCCGCGATCCAGGGCACCCCGCTGCCGGCCCCAAAGCCGGAATTCTGCTCGTTGGGGTCCATGGCGTCGTAGCGCGCCCTGCTGCCAGCATCCCCAAGCACCTCGGGCCAGAGGTGACAGAGGGATCTGAAGGGGCCCAGGGAAACACAGAAACAGGCATACATTACTAGATTGCCCATCTGTTTCCATATTTTCGGGACCCTATTCGCGGAAATCGACGATGATGTGTGTCTGTGCCTAGCTCTCTCTTCTGAAGATCTTGAACAAACGGTGAGGCATTGTGACGATTTGGGCTGCCCAGCTCAGACTCTCGGCTGGCCCCTGGCCATCTGCCGGATACATACAGCCATCGTGCTGCCATAAGGCACGCTGCAGGAGGAACGAAGCGGCTGGCCACGGCGAGCCTCGGCGGCGAACAGGTTTCCCGACCCAGACCGAAGGAACGGCCCGAACGCCGGAGCCCCCACGAGCGCGAAGTGGTCCTTGCGTCAGAGCTTGCTTCCCAGCCAAAGCATTAGAGGACAGAAAATCCACCCCGATACGAACCACCCCGACACGCGAAGCCGTTTAGCAAACGCACCCATAGAAGGTATCAAACGGGGCAAGGCTGCTTAATAAACGCCCAGGGCCGCTTCGTACACGCCAGCTGTCCGGTCCGGGTGGCTCTCTCCCCTCCCCGGGGACACGGATGGCCGAGGCGTGGACACGGTGCCGGACTGCACTGCACCTGTAAGCCCGGGCCATGCGCCGGGGCACGGCGGGCCGAGGCGTGGAGGAGGAGGGGGGGGCAAGGTCAGCGCGGGTTCTGGAAGCATGCAGCGCGTGGTGCCCGCGACAGTCCCACCAGCCCTCTGGGCTCAGGTGGTTTAGAGCGTTTCCTCTTCCGTCCTCCCACATTCTTCGCCTTCGTGGGGGGTGACCACTGCCCCTGACTGAAACCTGATCGGACAAGAATGGGAAGCGCCGATTTTGTCCAATGGGCTCGTAAGGGTGATGGCGGCGGATGGCGAGGATGGCAGCGTGGACGACGGGGAGGGCAGCGATGCGATCATGAGCAACGAGTAGGAAGACAAGCACGATAACGAGGAAGAGATGGAGGAGGACGAGTAAGAGGAGGAACAAAGCAGAAGGGGAGGAGGAACAGGACGAAGAAGAGGAGAAGGAGGACGACGACGACCAAGGAGGACGGTAAGGAGCCCGTGGAAAAGGACGTCGAAGAGGGGGGGGTGGTCCTCGTGATTTTTTTAGGCTACCCTGGGTGCTGTTGGAGCCATCTGGGTCAATCTTGGGGCATCCTGGGGGCCTCTTTGGGGCTCCTTGGGGCCTGTCGGGGTCCTCTTGGCGGCTTCTGCGCTCTTCTTGGGCTGTCTGGGCGTGTCGTAGGGTTCCATGGGGGCTCTCTCAGGCAGTCTTGGCGACATCTTGGGCTGTATTGGGCCGTCTGGGGGCCTCCTGGGGCTCGCTGGGGGGCCTCTTGCGAGGAGAACAATCATCGTGCTTGGAGTAATGGGGTTTGGAGGATGAAGGGCATGTGCAAGAGCATCCGGATGCAACGAACGGTACCTTCAGCCGCATACGGGTACGGCAGGTTCGTGTCGTGCCCACCCCAGCGTTGGTTTTTGACACCGCAGGGATCGTTCAACCTTGAACGATCGGCCGCTGCCGCAACGTCCGATCGTTCAACATCGATCGATTCTGGGTCGCCGGCGGCGTTCAACCTTGAACGCCCGCGCTGGGATCGCCGCTGGTCGACACGACGCAAACCTACCGTAAGGAAATCCTCATTTCTCCCAACCCCCACCATCATCCCAAGCCGATGCTCGCCCTCCTGATCCTGGGCCCCTTCCAGGAGCCCCGAAAAGCTCCCCGGGGAGCCTTCCGGGTCTCTTATTGGGCCACGGTGTGCCCCCTCCAGGAGCGACTCCAAGGCAACGTCGACTCGGCTGCCCCTCCGAAGCCGCATTTCTGGGGATGCCCCGAGCGAGATGGCCGTGCTTCAGGAACCGAGCTGGACAGGAACGGGCAGCGTCCGTCTTTGAGCTTGCGTGCGCGCGCATGTCTTAGCACCCAAGCGCGCATGTGTGCAAATGGGATGCCGTCGCTGGGCCCCCCTAAATGTCCAGGCGGCTGCCATTGGTAACCTGCGTGTTAGTGGTTGCCTGCGGCTGCTTTGGTCAAGTGTTCCGCGTGTTCTGTGTACGTGTGTGTGTGCGTGTGTGTGTTTGTGTGTAGGTTTGTGCATGTGTGCGTGCGCGTCTGTTTTTTGTACTTTCGGTTCTAAGAGAGCTGGGGTGTCAGTCGCCGCACCAGTCTCTGGCAACGCAGGCTCGCGGCGCTGCGGCGCCAACGAGCTGGCTCTCGAGCCGCCGTGCTGCAGGCTGCGCCCCGCCCCTGTGCGTGTGTGTTTGCTTGTGTGCGGCTGTGTGCGTGTGTGCGTGTGCGCGCGCCTGTGCAGGGTGTGCACCGAGGGGGCGGGAGGGGGAAATGTACAGCGTGCGTGCGAGATGTGTCCGGGGTGGGCGGGGGACGGTGCACGGTGTGCGTGCGGTGTGTGTGTGTGTGTGTGTGCGTGCGTGCGTGCGTGCGTGCGTGCGTGTGTGCGTGTGTGCGTGCGTGCGTGCGTGCGTGCGTGCGTGCGTGCGTGTGCGTGCGTGTGCGTGTGCGTGTGCGTGTGTGTGTGTGTGTGTGAGTGTGTGTGTCGGGCGGGCGGGCGGGCTCGGGTGCGTGTGGTGTGCGTACGGGGTGTGCCTGGCGGGCGGTTGGATGGTTGCCTGCGGTTGCTTTGGCTAGTTGCGTGGTCGGTGTCCTTGTGTGTCAGTATGTGTATGCGCGCATGCTCGTGCGAGTGTGTTTTCGGTACGTTCGGTAGTGAGCTGCGACAGTGCGTGCGTGTGTGTGTGTGTGCGAGTGTGCGAGTGTGTGGTGTACATCGGCGGTGTGGTGTACACAATCGCTGTGGTGCACGCAGGCACTATGGTGTACACAGGCGTTGTGGTGCAAATCGCCACCTACATGCTGGTGCTACCCGTCCTCCGTCATTCCTAAGCATTCCCGGACGACGCCGGCGCGAAACGTGACGTCGTCGACCCCCTCCCCCCCCCCAATGATTGCCGTCATCGACGCCCTCCAGACACCCCCAGGCTCCAGCCGCGTCCGCGCGCACGACGACGATGAGCGACGAGCGACGAGCCACGAGCCACGAGGACGACGACGACAACTGCGGACCAATCAGACTCCTATGCGGATTCCTACGCGGATCCCAATGCGCACGGCGGCAGTGCCCGCAACGCACTGGGGGGGGTGGAGCGTTACGTCATAGGGGGGGGGAGCGGGGGCCATGACGCCCGTCATGCCCCAAGCAATAAAGAAACGGGCTCTAGGGCCTAGAGTACCCCAACTCGCCAGATCGGCCAGGGCAAGGGCCCGATCGTCGGGCAGGGAGGGCCGGCGCCCGGCCTTCCCCGTCGGGGAGGGAGGGGCCAAAACCGCAGAGGGAGGGGGGGGGCGCCTGGTACGCCTCGGCCAGCTCCTGAAACTGCCTGCCGCCGCCCCCAGCGTCGCGGGGTGGTCGTCGTCGTTGCCATCGCGGGTCGTCGTCGGGGTCGTCGTCCTCCTCGTCGTCGTCGTCGTGGTCGTCGTCATGCTCGTCGTCGTCCTCCTCCTCCTCCTCCTCCTCCTCCTCCTCCTCCTCCTCCTCCTCCTCCTCCTCTTCCTACTCCTCCTGCTCCTCCTGCTGCTCCTCCTCCTCCTGCGCCCTTTTCCCCTGGCCTGCGGAGGTCCATGAGCCCGTCCAGTGACGGTGACGCGCGCCAAGTTCGCCCGCGGGTCAGCTTCGAGCCGACTGTGTCGATCAGAGACGCTGCCGCGATGGATGGGGATCAAACCATCGCCGAACTCCATATTCCTGATAGGTTTGGGCCCGCTTTTCAGCCCAACAAAAGACGGAAGGTCGGTGGCCAGCACAGGGCTCGTCCTGCGCTGGCGGCCACGACAGTCCCTGCCTGTGCCCTCCCGCCGACAGGTCCTGTCCCTGCTGAAGCCGCCAGGGGTCACAGGCCCTGGGTTGCAACAGGCCACGTTTGTCTGTGTTTCTTGCGGGTTCTTGACCACAGGCCCCGCAAGACACCTGCTCGTTTTGCCCCTTCCTTGTGGCCACTCATCGCCTGTCCGAGAGAGCCACGCGTAACCATCGCCAGTTTCTTGCGGATTTTCACCCTGCGGACGAGGACAAAATGGATTCTCGGCGAATCCCCGCCTCGTCCCCTCATGTTGGGGACCCAGAGACTCACTGGGTCAGGTTCTTGCGGAGCCAAAATTGTGTTCAACAGGATGGCGTCGGGAACTAGTGCTGCGAGAGTGGAGCACCCACGTAGGTGTAGCGCTTCACTTCCTTTCGGCCCCCCTTTTCCGAACAGGGCCTTTGGTGGAGCAGGCAGTCGAGGTTATTCCTGCGCCTCTGTTGTCTTTCTCTTGCCTAGCTCTGTCGGCGTTGTCGGGGTTGCCCCGAGCCTGCCTGTTTCTCCGTGGGATTAGTTCTGTGGCAAGGGAAAAAATGCGTGGCATGTAATTGCCTTATTCTGCGTGGCATTATTTGTGAGCTATTGGCATGCATGTGCGTGGCAACTGCTTGCATTTAGCGGCTCCCCGTGTGCCGTCGCAGCAACGCGTCGGCGTTGCGCACTCTTCCCGCCTCTCGCGCCCTTTTCAGGGCCAGTCGGCTCTCCGGGCTGCCTTCCCTTTGGCGGGCCCTGGCGTGTGCCGTTCGCGAGCCGTCGGGCCTGATCTCTCCTGCCTCATGGCAGGCGGCTGGTGCGGCTCTCTCCGTGCCTAACCTGGGAGGTGTGGGAGGCAGGCAGCAACCACCCCCACCGCTGCCTGTGCCCTTCTGCATGATTTCTGGGCGTTGAGCCCTTCTGCATAATTTCTGGGCCAGCGCCTGCCCCGCGATCCTCCTGGTGGGGGCAGGCGACCTCTGCTGGCGCCTGAGGGGGTCGGCCTCCCGACCACCCCTTTGCTGTGCTCGCCTAGCGCGGGAGACCTGCGCGGCGCTTGCCAAAGCAGTGCGGTATCCTCCTCCTCTTCCTCCTCCTCCTCCTCTTCCTCCTCCTCTTCCTCCTCCTCCTCCTTCTCCTCCTCCTCCTTCTCCTCCTCCTGCTCCCTCCTGCTCCCTCTTTCTCCTCGTCGAAGTCGTCGTGGTCGCGCTCGTTACGCTCGTCGTCGCCGCCGTCGTTGCCGTCATCGACCTGCTCCTCCTCCTCCTCCTCCTCCTCCTCCTCTTCCTCCTCCCTCTTCCCCCTCCTCCTCCTCCTCCTCCTCCTCCTCCTCCTCCTCCTCCTCCTCCTCCTCCTCCTCCTCGTCTTATTTCGAGGAAGAGGGGGGAGGGTGAAAGAGGCAAGGAAAAAGATGAGGGGAAGGTTCTGGAGTGTCCGTGATGGGGTTCAGGTGTGCTGGCGGGTCCATCCGCCTTCTCCTGCAACCCTTCTCCTTCCCCTTGTTGGTCCTCCTCCTTCAACTCAATTGGCTGGTGCGGCAACCAGCATGTCAATGCTGCGCGAGCCTGAACAGACCCAGCTCGAACTGCGGAGACTGTTACCCCTCTGACCCTGCAACCTCCCGCTCCCTGCCCGCGCCCTCTCCGTCTTCGGCCCCCCTTGCCGACCAGCCACACACTTGGGGAGTCAACTGTGTTCCTAATCCCCGGGTAGAACCCATCGTGTTAACGACCCGTCGAGATGGGGTGCCGAAAACAGTGTCTCCCCGCCTTGTTTTCGAGGAGGAGGAGGAGGAGGAGGAGGAGGAGGAGGAGGGGGAGGAGGAGAAGGAGGAGGAGGAGGAGGAGGAGGAGGAGAAAGAGGAGGGGAGGAGGAGGGGAGGAGGGGGAGGAGGGGAAGGAGGAAGAGGAGGGGAGGAGGGAGGAGGAGGAGGGAGGGAGGAGGAGGAGGAGGAGGAGGAGGAGGAGGAGGAGGAGGAGGAGAAGGACAACTCCCCCCCAATTCGCGGCTGACCTGCCGTGTCCAGGCCCCCCATCGCGAGGTTGAACCGGAGGGCACAATTCGAACACGGCGGCGCCCCCGCCCGGGCCCAAATCCTCGAGCAGGGGATCGACGACAGAATTGATTTACCCCAGAAGCTGTTTTTGTCAGTCGAAGCCCTGCAGAGTACGCAGAATATTCGTAAATCTACGCGCGCTCTGCGCATTTTTCGTGGACCCCACGAGAAAATCAATTCGGAGGTAAACCAGTACTGAGGTCGATCCCCTACAATGGAGGCCCGACCACAAGAAACCTTCCACATGAAACCCAACCCTCAGACCCCAGGATGTCCATTGATTCCTGGCGTGGGAAAGCCACGCCTTCCACAGAAGGACACCATCACAACTCAAGAGACCCAGGGCACCCTGCAGGCAAGCAGAGTGTTTCTTGGTATGGGCCCCCACTGTACTCGAAGTCCGCTCGAATCGGTCTCGGGCTCCCCCCCGGGGTCCCTCCCGACCCGTCCCTCGATGCGGGCCCGGCCACGGCGGCGAGAAGCCTCTGCGGGAAACTCGGAACGATGCAGACCGTCGGGGAGGGACGCCGTGGTCTCGACCGGCCCCCCTACCGGAGGGGGGGCCTCACCCGCCTCCGCCTCCGCCTCCGCCTCCGGCTCCGCCTCCGCCTCCCCCTGCACCTCCTCCTCCTCTTCCTCCTCCTCCTCCTCCTCCTCCCCCTCCTCCTCCTCCTCCTCCTCCTACTCCTCCTCCTCCGTGAGAGTCTCACCCTCAGTGAGGGTCCTTGCCTGGTGCCCACTCCTACGCCCGAGAGGGCCTCTGTGATTCTCCTCGCATCTTCCCCTCCCCCCCCACCCCCCTCTCCCTTTCAGGACACGCACCTTGCCGACACCAAGAGCATAAATTCATTGGCCCACTGCCAGGGTTCGCGCGCGCACACGCGCCCGAGCCTGGTGGCGTCCGGGTTGTTCTTGTTGAGGTCGGGGTGGCATTTCTTGGCCGCCGCCAGGTAGGCCCGCTTGATCTCCGCCTGGGTCGTTACGGGGCTGAATGTTTCACGTCACGCGGACTTTGATCGGGTGATCGCACCGTCTTTACGGGGCTCAACGGCTTCCGCTGCCCTCCGAATTGTGCTGGAATTTTCACGAACTGTTCCGCATGTACTACCGCAAACCACCTGCCATTGGAGGCCCGGACAAACAAATCTAACTCAAAGTCGTTTCAACCATGCAAATTGCCAAACCGTACTTCCAGCAGGCATTCGCTTCGTTAAAATGAGCAGCGCTGATCTGTAACCGCGGCGGCGCTTTTTGAAATGCAAGACGCCTAGGTAGGACATGACATCGCGCGCATGTGCCTCCAAAGTTGCGCTTCGATACCCTCTCAGTGTTAAAACGACGTCGGATCAAGACATCGCGGGAGGTCGTCGCGAGAGGTCCTGGAGGAGGACAAGGCGGATGAGGAGGAGGACAAGGGGGGATGAACGCTAAGGGGGGAAAACAACGGAGGGCGCAGGAGCAGGTGAGGAGGGGGAGGCATGCGGAAACAAGGGTGACGAGAAGAACGGGGGGGGGCGGGAAAGCGCAACAGTGGGACGGGGACGGAAAACGGAGGACTGGCAACGAGAATCAAAGGAAGAGGCGGGGGGAGACGACGCACGGGGAAGAGCATGGGCCTGCCGACCTTGCCCCTCCCCATGCAGCTTGTCTGTAAGGGCCCCTAAAATACTTTCAAGGCCGTCGGGTGCGCTGTCGGATGCCGGATCCGCGGCCCGTGGCCTCTGGTTCGAGCAGTGGATCGACTACTGAACTGAAGTACCCCCAGGTTGTGTCTTCCGCCGAAGCCCTGGAGAAAGGTACGTAGAATGTCCGTCAATCTACGAACGCTCCACGTCTCTTCCCACAACGAATCCTGGGGAAGACCAGCACGGCAGCCCCTCCCCTGCCCGACAGGTTTCGATCTCCAGTCGCGGTCCGTGGTCGCAGCTCGTGGACTCTCAGCATGGCCCGCGGCCCCTGGCCGCGGCCTCTGGCCGTGGCCTCAGCCTGCGGTCCTTGGGATGCGGGTCTGTGGCCTGCGGCCTCTGGCCGTGGTCTCTCTGGCCGTGCGCGCTCGGGCCCTGGCCTCGGGCCCCGGTCTCTGGCGCTCTGGTCCGTGGAAGAGGGCTCCGGGCGTGGTGCCTGGTCGCGTTCTCATGCCTCGGGTCTCTGAGGGCGTTCTCTGGTCAGGGAGCGCGACCCGAGATTGGAGAGACCACGACTGGACGCCACGACCAGAGACCGCGACCAAGGACCACGATCGGAGGCTGGAGGTGGGCCTGGGCGCCATGACGGACGACCATGTATATTTCATCTGGCGTTTGAGCCGCCAACGCCATCTTAGTGGACATATACGGCCGCCAACTCCATCTGAATGAAAAGATGTGGTCGCCAACTCCGAATTGACGAAACCTGTTTTACGGCATCCCTCCGAATTGACGAACCCCCGTGGCGGCCTCTCTCCGAATTGACGAACGACCTTGACGGCCTCCCGGCCTCCCTCCAAGTTGACGAACCCCCTTGACGAACCCCCATTGACGGCCTCCCTATGGGGTAACGAACCCCGTGACTGCCTGCCTCCCTCCGAATTTATGAGCCCCCTTGACGGCCCCCCTCGCCGCCCCCTCCGTCTTGACGAACAAAGCGTCGGGGCCGAGCTGATGGTTAATCATCCCAGAGCGACCCTACCTAGGAGTTGGAGCCCCGAGGAGAGCAATATTAGTAGTGCTCTTGCCTCTGCTTTTGCCTTTGCCTTTGCTTTTGCTGTTGCTGTTGCTTTTGTTTTGCTTTTGTTGTTGCTTTTGCTTGGTTTTGATTTTGCATTGCCTTCGCACACACACAGACACACGCATGTTTCTGCATTCGCTCACCGGGTGTGCTTGAGAATGCTCCGGAACCGGCCTGCACTGCCTATGCTATGCTATGCTGCGCTATGCTATGCTATGCTAGGCTATGCTATGGCATGCTATGCTGCGCTATGCTATGCTATGCTGCGCTATGCTATGCTATGCTATGCTATGCTGCGCTATGCTATGCTATGCTATGCTATGTTATGCTGCGCTATGCTATGCTATGATATGCTATGCTATGCTATGCTGCGCTGTGCTATGCTAAGCTAAGCTATGATATGCTATGCTATGCTATGCTATGCTGCGCTATGCTATGATATGCTATGCTATGCTGCGCTATGCTATGCTGCGCTATACTATGCTATGCTATGCTATGCTGTGCTGTGCTATGCTAATGCTGCGCTGCGCTGCGCTAAGCTAAGCTGAGCTAAGCCAGGCTAGGCTAAGCTAAGCTAAGCTAAGCAAAGCTAAGCTAAGCTAAGCTAGGCTAGGCTAAGCTTAACTAAGCTAAGCTGAGCTAAGCTATGTTAAGTTAGGCTAAGCTAAGATGAGATAAGCAACGCTAAGCTAAGTGGCCGTCACTGGGGGAACCGCGGGGCGGATACTGGGGGAACCGCCCAGGGCGAGGACAACTGCCCGGCCCTTTAGGCATACACGGTAAGAACCCTTCTAGGCAGAGCCTAGGTAGGGAACATGATCGACCCACGAACCCGGAAAGGAAGATAGAAATGTAAGACATGGCACCTGATTGGGCGACGGGCAAATGCAATGCTGAGTGTATCGATCTTGATGTACCGTGCCGAGAGCTGTGCTGTGCAGCGTTGTGCTGACTTGCGATGTGCCATGCCACGATTGTGCTCTACAGCGTTGTGGATCGAGTCCTCCTTTGTATCCGAGTCCTGACCGAACTGATCTGGATCTTAAGCTCGAGCTGCCCTAGCACATAGTAGCTGCCCCAGAGCTAATTGACAGGGGAACATGCCAGGAGGACACGCCGCGGAACGTCCCAAGGGACGCGCCAAGCGACGTGCCAAGAGGACGTGCCACGAAGACGCACCGCGGGACGTGCTGAGGGCACGCGCTACGGAACGTGCCAGTGGACGTGCCAATGGACGTGCCAGGGGACGCGCCGCGCGACGTGCCAAGGGGAGTCGCCACGGGACGCGCCAGGGAACGTGCCAAGTTGCAATGCTGAATGCATCGATCTTGATGTACCGTGCCGAGGGCTGTGCTGTGCTGAGCCGTTCTGAACTGCGATGCGCCATGCCGCGATTGTGCTCTATAGTGTAGTGGATCGGGTCCTCCTTTGAATCCGAATCCTGGCCGAACCGATCTGGATCTTAAGCTCGAGCTGCCCTAACACATAGTAGCTGCCCCAGAGCTAATTGACAGGGGAACATGCCAGGCGGACGCGCCGCGGAACGTCTCAAGGGACGCGCCAGGCGACGTGCCAGGGGACGTGCCATGGGGTCACACCGCGGGACGTGCCAAGGAGACGTGCCATGGGAACACATGTATTTCTGGAGATAGGGATACATGTAAAAACATATGTTTTCGTGCCCCTGGAGAGGGCGAAGCTTTAGGTAACGAGAGGGCCCATCTATAGACATACGTAAAAACACAAACGCGTGCCCCTGGATGGGGCCAATATATGGGAACGTACGTGATCCGTGCCCCTGACCAAAATGTGCCCCGCACCCTGTGATTTATCGATCGCGATTTCAAAAAACAGCGTTTCGCTAAGGACATCGTCAAATTCTAATTCGTTATTTATCGCAAAAGAAATTCGCCGGCCCTACAGCCGTCGATTCCGGGGTAAACAGCTAAAAGAGAACCCTGGGCCCACGCCCTTTCCGGGAAAAACGACCTCGGTCTTGACGAAAACAGTGTCGAGGCCGAGTTGACGGCTCCTCTCGTCTTGACGAACGAAGTGTTGGAGCTGAATTGACGATTGCTTTCACCTTAGCGAACGTAGTAGCCTTGGGGCCGACTTGACGACCGGTGGGCGCTTCTCTAGACATGCGCCGCCTCAGCAACGGGCTTGGGCTCAAAAGAGGAGAACGAGTAAGAGGAGGAACGAAGCGGAGGAGGAGGATGAAGATTATAATAATAATAATAATAATAATAATAATAATAATAATAATGACGGCGACGACGACGAAAAGGGACGGTAAGGAATCCGACAAACAGGACGTCGAGGGCCCCCGTGGGGGCCTGTCGGGGTCCTCCTCGGGGCTACTGGGGCCTTCTTGGGCTGTCTGGCCATAACCCTGACCTCCCGATAATACCCCTTCTGGGGATGATAGAAGTTCGCCCGGAGATCTCAACGTAATGATGAAGATGATGACGACGATGATGACCAAGATGGTCCTGAACGTTCATATGAATAGTTCATAATTCCATAGGAGTCCTTCGGACATCCATTGGAAGCCTATGGCAATCCATAGGATTCCCTTGGACATCCATCGGCTCCCGGAGGAAATCAATCGGAATTCGTAGGAATCCTTGCGATTCAACATAAGAAGAGCGCAACTTCGATTCGCAACTTTTCCCCGCGATAGAAAGTTCGGCCTTGCCGCCTCTCTTCCCTGACCAAGCCTGTATTGGCCCGGGATAGTCAACCCTCAGGTGGCAAGGGGGGGGGTAATGATTATCAGAGGGCGGGGGTTATATTAGGGTTCTGTGGGGGCTCTCTCAGGCCATCTTGGCGCGGCCGATCTTATCAAGTTCAGAATGCGAGTTGACTGTGATTACTGATTTTTCTCGCCCTGCGTGCACTCCAGCAATTTGAACTCCCTGACGACGCCCGTGAGCGCCCGTGAAAGGAGTGGGGAGGCATGGGGGAGGGCAAGCAAAACGGTAACGCTTCCGCGTGCACCACAGCGCGCGTGCGCACGAGCCACGACCAGGGGCCACGAGCCCGAGCCACGGCCGCCGCAGGTCCACCGCCGCACGGGCCTGCTTGGGGGCCCAGAAGACGTCGCCCCCCCGCGGGGGGGGGGCCTCAGACGACGCCGCGAGCCCAACGCCTTGCCGTCGCTCGGACGCCCATTCCCCATGCATTGCTCGGGCTCGTGCGCGCGCACTTGTTCGCAGGGTGGCCCCGGATGCTCCTCGACAGTCCTTGCCGAGAAGACATGCGCACGTCCGAGCGATGCCCGGGGACGGGACTTCTCGGCACCACGCTCACACGGCGCCACCTCTGGAGCTGCATCGGCCCACGGCAGGGGCCCTGAGACACGGCCGCCGCGGGACAGAAGCAGCGCCCGCCCTCGCGCGCCTTTCTCGGCTGCGCCCCCGGGCGTCGAGAGGGGACGGACGGGGTGCCCGAGGACCCCGAGATGTGGCGGCCATATCCTCTCTGGGCACGGGCCCCATGGCCTCTCGATCTCGCCCCTTGGGCGCGGACTCCTAGGGGGGCCAAACACACACGTGGGGGGGAGCAATGGTGCCCTTCTCGGGCCCCAAAGGCCCCCTCTGGGGCCCCACTAGGGCCCCTGTGGGGGCCCCAGGAGGCCACTTTCTGCAGCCCGCGCTGCCCCCCCCCCCCCCCCATATGTCGCTCCCCCCATGACGCGTCCTCCGACCCCCATGCCGGAATTGAAAACACAAACTGACATCTCGGTGTGTTGTTCAAGCCGCCGGACGGCTGCATCTTCTTCGGCCTCGGGTTCCCGGAGGCCCTCCAGAGGCCTGTCAAGGGCTTACGCGATGCATCGCCGGGGGATCTTGTCTGGCCCATCCGCGTTGAAGCCGCGTCAAATACACGTCGAACGTCGAACCCGCGTCGAGTCCACGTCCCATCCACGTCGGTTCCTGGTTGGGAGCAACCAAGAACATTCCGTACAGACACATCACGCGCACACACACACGTACACACACACGTATTCACACGTACACACACACACACACACACGCACGTACACACACACATACACACACACACGCACACACACACACACACGCACACACGCACGCACGCACGCACGCACGCACGCACGCACGCACGCACGCACGCACGCACGCACGCACGCACACACACACGCACACACACACACACACACACACACACGTACACACACGTACACGTACACGTGCACGTACACGTACACACACACACACACACACACACACACACACACACACACACACACACACACACACACACACACACACACACACACACACACACACACACGCATATACGCACATGACGATGCGACGCACGTGAACCAGCCACACGGGCCCATGGCCTCTCGAAAACCTCGAGCGTCGAACCTCGAGCCTCGATCCTCGAGCCACCACCCTCTTGATTGGCGGCGCGCACAAAGGAGCGGCGCGATGGGGGCGGCTACCCTGAAGGCGGAGGGGCTTCTCAGAGGGCGGGGGGGCCTCCTCAGAAGAGCCAGGAGGCCTCTGAGAAGGCCTCCAGAAGACTTCTAAGAAGGCTTCTGGAAGGCTTCCAAGAAGTCCAAGAGCCTGAGACGCCGGGCGGGCTTCGAAGAAGCTCCCCCCTGCCCTCTTTGACGCCCCGCGGCCTTTCCCTCTCAGAAGGCCGCCCTCCTCGCACCGCCCCCTCGTGGGCGCCGCCGAGGCCCTCTCCGGGAGGAAGCGCATGCCTCCGTGGCGGTCCTCTGCACTCCCAGCGTCGCGTAGTGATCGCGGGGCGGCCGCGACGCGGCCGCGAGGTGCCTGGCAGCACCGGTCCAGCTGGCCCAGGGCCCGAGGTCTCCGTCGGCCAGCCTGGGCAGCGCGAGCCCCAACGAGCGGGTCTACGGCAAGGTGCTTCTGTTGGGGGGGGGGAGGCCTCAGGCGCCAGTGTGGCGCCCCCGCAGCCTGCGCAAGAATAGAGGGAACTGACAAGTCACCGCATGTCTCAAAGCTCAGGCTGCCGAGCGCACGCAGCCTCCCACTGCCTTCCAGGCCCAGTACACAAACCCTGGGCCTGGGCCGCGAAGCACGTACAGGCGTCACGGCATCAGTGGACCTACGGCAAGTCGCGTTTTGACGACTTGCGCGTTGTTTTCTGACGCCGCGTGAAGGGTTCTGCCTGTAGCGGTCGCGGCTTTCCGATGGCGCAGGTCGTTCGATGTTGGCTAACTCTGGGCCAGTGGCGGTGTTCAACTTTGAACGCCCGCGAAGGGTCGCCGCCGCGCGAGCCTGCCGTACGAGGATCGAGGATCAAGTCTTGGGTTCGAAGACCAAGTTTTTGATCCCACGCAGCCTCTGCCCGCCCGCATGACGTTCTCCCGCCCTTATCGGCACACCCCTCAAACGGATCACCTCCCCCGTCAGGGAGCTCCACCTAGGGTGCAAGTGAAGGCGCCCTATGGCGACCCCCCGACCATTTCGGCACCCCCCTCTCGCGGATCTTGCCCCATAAAGCTCCATCTCTGGCACCAATGAGGGTGCCCGCATGACGACCATTTGGGCACTCCCCTTGCACATAACTTGCCCCGCAGGTACGTAGCTCCACCCATGGCATCAATGGAGGCGCCCAGATGGTGCCCCCCTGCCAATGTCGGCACACCCCTCACACGTTTCGCGCCACACGGGGAGGCTGCTTCGCAGCCGTGTCCACACTGCCCTGCGGCGGTTGATGTTGGGGCCACGCCCTGCGCTACACAAGGAGCTGGCTGCGTAGTGGGCCGCGGGAAGAATTTCAGAAGGATGCGATAGCGCGATAGCACCATGAGCTCCTCCCCTTTCCCTGCTGCTGATGTTGCCTCCTCCTCCTCCTCCTCCTCCTCTTCCTCCTCCTCCTCCTCCTCCTCCTCCATCTCCTCCTCCATCTCCTCCTCCTTCTCCTCCTCCACCATTTCTTTTCCTTGTACATACTTTCTCCCTGTCGCTCCCCGAGACCAGTTTAGGGCATTCCGCCTGAGACTTCCTCATCACTTCTGACCCTGAAGCTTTAACAGTCACAGCAGTTTCACATATGGAGGGCGGGTCGTTTTCAAAATGCGGCTCTCGCCTTAGCGCTGCGCGCATTCGTTTTAAATATTTGCAAGAGCTTCACGGATTGAGGGTGTCCCGTTTTCAAACTGTGGCTCTCGCCGTAGCGCCGCGCACATTCTTTTCAAACACTTGCATGGGCTTCACGGATTGAGGGCGGCCCATTGTCAAACTGTGGCTCTCGCCTGAGCAAAGCGCACATCCGCTCTTTAAATGTGCAAGAGTTTCACGGGGTGAGGGCGATTCCTTTTCAAAAAGCAGCTCGCGCTTTAGCGCCGCGCACAGTCGTCTTTCTTTTTCTTTGCAAGAACTTCCCGGATTGAGGGCAATTCCTTTTCAACATGTGGCCTCGACGTGGCGCTGCGCACATCCGTGTCACGATTTGCAGGAGTTTCACGGGTCCCGTGATCAACGTACCAGGAATGGTGGTTGGAAGGGTTCAGGATTATGAGGGTGCAACGGTTACGTTGACTCGCGGGGCTGAAGTTCCAGGAATGGCGTTCTGGCACGATTCAGGACCGTCAAGACGCAGCGGTCAGGTTGATCCATTGTAGGGGCCTATGAAGAGGGAGCTTGGAGGGAGGATTCCAACATCGCTGGTGGCTCTTGGGATTGCAAAGGTCCTCCTCCTCCTCCTCCTCCTCGTCCTCCTCCTCCTCCTCCTCTTCCTCCTCCTTCTCCTCCTCCTCCTCCTCTTCCTCCTCCTTCTCCTCCTCCTCCTCCTCCTCCTCCTCCTACTCCTACTCCTCCCCCTCCCTCCCTCCCTCCCTCCCTCCCTCCCTCCCTCCCTCCCTCCACCGCCTTCTCCTCCGCCTGCTCCGTCTCTTCCTCCTCCCTCCACCCCTCCTGTTGGCAGGACGGAACCAATTCCCGAGGGACACTGTTTCCTCCAGGACCAGCTCTACATCCCGAATCGTTTCCTGACGGTCCTGTGGCTCTGGAGAAAACCCTCGAGAACTCCCAAACAGCCACAACACGTCCAGGACCCGTTGCCCTCAGGCCCCCGCCTCCTCGAGCGGGGGGAGTCGCGACAGCGACCACGCGAGGCGGGGGCTTCTGCATTTCCAGCGCAAGGGGAACCGATGTTCTGGGACCCCAGCGGGCGGCTGATACGGATGCACCTGGACCCCAGGGGCCCGAAGTTAGGTCAGACATGTCTTCTGCAGGCGGATCCTGAAAGACAAACAAAGCAGGTGTTAAAAATGCCTTTTGTATGATGATAAGAACACGGAAAATCGCCACAATACTACTTTGGAGACTATTATTGCATATTCTTCATGAAGAGGGACGTGGCCGACTTAACTCTGAAAGGTCTCTAGGCGCCCCCAATACGGGGTAACTAATTATTCTTTCGGCTGGCCTATTCAAGGTGGGGGGCCCACCAATATGGGGTAACTGATTCTGCTTGTTTCGCGGCACCCGCCGCGCAACAACGAGGAGGCGGAGGAGGAGGAGGAGGAGGAGGAGGCGTAGGAGGAGGAGGAGGAGGAGGAGGAGGAGGAGGAGGAGGAGGAGGAGGAGGAGGAGTGAGGAATAGGACGAGGAGGAGGAGCGGGGAGGAGGAGGAGGAGAAAGAAGAGGTCTTAGGACCAGCCCTACTCACCGCCTAGAGAACAAAAGGGGGGGGGAACCAGAACTGAAGATATTTAGCGGCTAAGCCCGAAGAGATCCGTGCCGCCGCCCGCCGAGGTCCCAGAAGACCGCCCCCCCCCCCCGGCGGCCCGCCAGGAGGAGGAGGAGGAGGAGGAGGAGGAGGAGGAGGAGGCCCGCGAGGCTGTCCGCTTCGGCCCCGCCCTTGGCGCCAGCGAGGGCAGAGCCCCCCGGGGGCGTCGGCGCGCCAGGGGGTGGCGGGCGACGGGCGCTGCCAGCCTCGGGGAGGCGGAGGGGGGCCACGCCTGCCGTCGGCACGATCTGAGTGGAGCCAACACGAAGTGGCCCAGGGACACATAAAGAAATAGGCACAGATCGCAGGATTCCCCATCTGTCTCCGTCTATACTTTCTGGAGTGTCGCCTTCCCCACCACGCCCCATGCTTTCCCACATTGCCTGTGTGAGTCTTCCCTCATGACGAAGAGGTGGGGAGACTGGTTTAGGGAGATGGCAACGAGCTGGGATCGGCGACACACCGACGACAGACCAGCGATACGCCCCCGATAGCGCAGCCGCACGCCCTTTTGGGCGGGGTGGTGGTCCAGGCCCCGACGAGCGATACACGGGCAGCTGGGGGTCGGTGCTTCACCACCTAGACCAGTCTACCATTAACATCATCAGCATCATCATCATCATCATCATCATCATCATCACCATCATCATCACCATCACCATCACCATCACCATCATCATCATCATCAGCATCATCATCATCATCATCATCATCATCATCACCATCACCATCACCATCACCATCATCATCTCCACCATCATCATCACCATCACCATCACCATCACCATCACCATCATCATCATCATCATCATCATCATCATCATCATCATCATCATCATCATCAGCATCATCATCATCATCATCAGCATCATCATCACCACCTAGGCCAATCTCCCCTCACTGTCGTTCACCCAGATGCAGCAACACTCCCACTGGTGACTGCGACAGGTCCGTGCCGTGGCGACGCTGGCGCTGGCTTCTGACACCGCGTGGATCGTTCGGCCTTGAACGATCGCGGCTTTTCGATCTTGCAGGATCCTTCGACGTCGGCCGACTCAGGCAACTTGCGGCGATCAACCTTGAACTCCCGCGCTGGCGTCAACGCCGCAACCACACGACGCGAGCTCCAGAAACCATGAGCCTCAAGAAAAAGCGTGCATCTATTGCAAGGCCGAGTTTTTACTTCCGCCGGCTTCCGCCTGCGGAGCCGCCCCCGTTTTACGCTCAACGCCCTCCACTGGCATTCCGCCGAAGGAGAGAAATCAACTTCTCCATGACTCAGCATCAAGGCCCTTCCTAGAACGCGTTACGTGCACTACGCGCGGTGAATGATGGGTAGTGCAATTCCCTGTACTCCGTCGTCGAACCGCAGATCGTGCATCGCAGGAGGAGGAGAAGGAGAAACCGAAGCACTCAGCGGTCCCGAATGAACTCAAGGCGCCTGGCTCTATGCCGTTTCCAGCGCATCCTCTGATTTGAAATTTTCAATCTGCGTCCCCAGACCACCCGACCCCTTCCTGGCCCCAAATACAATTGTTGATGGTCCCAGGGCCCGAAAGCAGCCCCCGTGGGGCGAACTGCAACAGAAACCACAAGCAATGCTCGGGCCCCGCACGACCATCCAAAGGACGATGCAGGATAAGAAGGCCCGCCCCGCCCTCGGGAAAAGGCCGAGGGGGACTGGGTCAAGGGGCGCATGCCTCTGACGGATCGAGCCGCCGAAGGGAGGATGGAAGAAGGATGGAGAGGATGGGAAAGCATGTGGAGAGCGAGGGGGAGGAGGGAGAAGGGAGGAAGGAGAAGAGTTGAGCGGGGAGAACGGAAGGATGAAAAGATGCGAGGCCGCTGCTCCTCGCGTCCTGGAACATCCAGCGGCTCGATCTGCTTTAGAGATGTGGCCCCATCGGACCTCTCGACCTCTTCCTGCGAGGGCCAGCTTTTCAGCTCTTCGCGTCCTGGAGCATCCAGCAACTCGATCTGTTTTAGAGATGCGGGCCCCTCGGACCCCTCGACCACTCCCTGCGGGGGCCGGCTTTTCAGCTCCTCGCGTCTTGGAACATCCAGCGGCTCGATCTGCTTTAGAGATGTGGGCCCCTCGGAATTCTCGACCCCTTCCTGCGGGGTCTGATCTCCCGGCTCCGAAAACAGCACCGAAAACGGCGACAAGCCGGCAGCCTTTCTGATTCCATGCCCCGCCGGACGTCTGGGTCGCCGCCGTCCCCGTGCCCGTCGGGGCGGTCGCCGTCGTTGCCATTGTGATCGTCGTCGGCGTCGCGCTTGTGGTCGTCTTCGTCGTCGTCCTGGCAGTGGCGGTCGTCATCGCCGAGGTCGTCGCAGTCGCCGTCGTTGGTCGTCGCCGTCGTCCTCGCCATCTTCGTCGCCGTTGCCTTCGTCGTCGTCTTGCCCTCGTCGTCGTCGTCGTCGTCGTCGTCGTCGTCGTGGTCGTCGTCGTCGCCTTGCCATCGTCGTCGTCGTCATCGCCTTGCCGTCGTCGTCGTCGTCGGCGCCGTCGTCGCCGGGGCCTCTGCACCCG